TATATCCACGATCTCTAACTCCTGCAGAGAACACTGGGGCCAAGTGTGCGCCAGTGCACCTGGCTTATAAATTCTTTTGAGAACCACATCTATCTACACCCCCAAATCTTTTAATATGTTAAGTTTCTGTCTGGAGAAACTGCCTCGTCTTTAAAAAAAAAAAAAAAAAAATAGCCTTTCCTTTCTGATGAATGCTGTTTTCTTTATAGTTCAAGAAATTATAGGGATTTTAAAAAGAACAATTAGCTATAGCCAAGAACTTGTTTGGATAAAACTGACTTCAAGTATATATGGACCATGGAGTTAGAGCAATTCTAGCAGGCCTAGGACTCAGAAGAGAAAGGACTAGGTGACACCTGAAACTTCCTGTACTGAAGAGCTGTGAGGAAAACCTAGATGCTTTCCACACACATTATACACATAACCCAGAAGAGCAGTGAAAAACGCCCAAGACCCAAGACTGGGATGGTCACAGACAAAGCAAGGCCTACAGTCAGGGCCCCGGCGGGCAGGGCTGGGCCTGCTGGCTCCAACACCCCCCCTGAATGAGAAAGTGCAAGCTCTGATGCCCGGGCAGTCTCCGTCTCCACAGACACTAGATCTGATGCCCGGGCAGTCTCCGTCTCCACGGACACTAGATCTGATGCCCCGGCAGTCTCCGTCTCCACGGACACTAGCAACAGCAAATACCCTGAAGATTTTACATGTGAGCCCAATGGTGACAAAGATCTCTGATCCCAGCACTCAGGAAGCAGTGAGTTCCAGGCCAGCCTGATCTAAACAGTGAGTTCCAGGCCAGCGCAGGTTACATAGTGATATTCTACCTCTAGCAAACAAAGTAATAAAATGCAAAATAACATCCAGTACTCTTCCTGTTAATGAAGAGCAACTACATGAAAGAGTACTGAGGAGAAATGTTTCTTGACTGCAGGGAGATTTTGGCCATGTTAGAATAGCAATGCCTCCAGTCAGGCCTGGCTTGTGAGGGGAGAGTTCACAATATGGATGTAACATAAACTGAGTATACCTACCACCCTAGAATGAAATGAAGTAACTCCGCCCTGGACACAAGTGTAATGTTTCGAGCCGTGTATGGTAAAAATGAAAAGCCATCTGTATATATTTAGGAAACCGAAAAGGAGTGAACATTAGTTCAGCCATTAAGTCTGGGTCGCGTGGAGGTTATAGTCACTGACGTCTTTTAAAATGCGCTAGAGAGAAAATGTCAAAAGCACACCAGAGACTGGGGAGTAGCGGGACAGAGAAGCATATCGTGGTCACAACACCCAACCCCAGCACTTACAAAGCACTGGCAGAAGGATCAGAAGTTCAAGGCCAGTCATGGCCACATGAGACCCCATTTCAAACAAAGAAATATTGCATATAGGATTGGAGTTATTTGATGAAAATGTTTGCTTTTATAGATGTCTGTGTGTATAGCCTCACAGTAAAAATGAATTTTTACTATCTATATGATAGCCAATCTCTATTGTCAACTTAATGGGATTTAGAAGCACAATGGAAAAAAAAATATTTGGATCTGTTAGTAAAGAACTGTGTGGATTAGATTAGGGTTAGTAATGTAGGCACAGGCATCAGAATTCCATTCTCTGCTTACTCACTTAGTGAGGCAGGAGCCACAGCTCCAGCCACCATGCTGGACTGAAACCAGGAGCTGTGAGCCCAAAGAAACCATTAACTTATATTTGTTATGCATTTTACCATAGCAACTTACAAAGTAAGGAATATAGACTATCACAACAGTATCACTAAATAGCTACTAATTGTTTCTAACAAAAATGCAATCTTCAACACCCAAGTTAAAATAAAATGACTTCATCTTTTTAGCAAATACATAACATAAAATCACAAGTTTGAGAAAAGCAAACATCAAAGCCTGATTCAAAATTCTGTGAAACACTGAGTTAGGTTTCTGTGATGAGACACACCTGGGTGTTCTGTTTCTGTTACAGTCATCTGAGGACCCCTGAGTTTTATGTGACATTCAGCTTCCATAGCTGAACACCAAAATGGTTTCAACCAAATAAAACTTGAGCCAGATGTGTCCACATATTCAGCCATCACTTTTCTGAAAATATTCCTGGAATTTACAAGTGAACTCTTTCTGTAGCACAGCACACTGCATGTGCTTACGAGTTTGTAGAAAGGGTTGAACAGCAAATATTTCAGTGACCTCCACCAATTTTAGCTTGGGGAAGAAAAGCCTGAACAAATTATTAATTTAAATATGTCTTTTTGTTACTGGCATAAAACTGATTTGTTCATTGTAAAATTTTTAAAGATACAAAATAATGTAAAAAATAAAATATAACCCTTATTGCCCTGCTAAATGGCCATCATTTACATTCTGTAGTTAAGAAACAATTAAAGCAAATAGCAAAACCTTGTATCCGAAACAGATTGCAAACTGCATGGTGGTGCTTAAGAACAATGTATAAATCTACTAGTAGGCATGACTCGCATTTCAACACTTGTGTGTGCATGTGTGTGTGTTGTGTGTACATACATGGGAGGGGGTTAGCCTACAGGCTGACAACTTTGACATCCTTTCTCTTCAGTATTCCTTCTACCATGCCGAACACAAGTGGTCCCATGTTCCCTCCCTTTCTCCTCCCAAGTGCCCAAAAGAGCACACTTGGATTTAGTTAAGGCTACGTCCATAGACAAGCAATATAATTTATCATCTTAAACGGGTCCCACTGTCTTATTTTGTGGTGCATGGGTGTTTATGTGTGTGTGTGTGTGTGCGCACGTGTGTGTATGTGTCTGTATGTGTGTGTATGTGTCTGTATGTGTGTGTATGTGCATGTGTGTGTGGTGTGCATATGTGTATGTGCATATGTGTGTGTATGTGTATGTGTATGCATGTGTGTGCTCGCACACGTGTGTGTCTGTGTGAGTGTGTCTGTGTGTGTGTCTGTGTGTGTGTCTGTGTGTGTGTATCTGTGTGTGTGTGTATCTGTGTGTGTCTGTGTGTGTCTGTGTGTGTCTCTGTGTGTGTCTGTGTGTGTGTGTGTATCTGTGTGTGTATCTGTGTGTGGGTGTGTCTGTGTGTGTGTCTGTGTGTGAGTGTGTCTGTGTGTGTGAGTGTGTCTATGTGTGTGTATCTGTGTATGTGTCTGTGTGTGTGAGTGTGTCTGTGTGTATCTGTGTTTGTGTCTGTGTGTGTGTATCTGTGTGTGTGTCTGTGTGTATCTGTGTGTGTGTCTGTGTGTGTGTATCTGTGTGTGTATCTGTGTGTGTGTCTGTGTGTGAGTGTGTCTGTGTGTATCTGTGTGTGTGTCTGTGTGTGTCTGTGTGTGAGTTTATCTGTGAGTGTATCTGTGAGTGTATCTGTGTGTGTGTCTGTGTGTGTGTGTATCTGTGTGTGTGTCTGTGTGTGTGTGTATCTGTGTGTGTGTCTGTGTGTGAGTGTGTCTGTGTGTATCTGTGTGTGTCTGTGTGTGAGTTTATCTGTGAGTGTATCTGTGAGTGTATCTGTGTGTGTGTCTGTGTGTGTGTGTATCTGTGTGTGTGTATGTGTGTGTGGGGGGGTGCACGTGTGTATAGGCACAGGCTGACGTTGGAACATCTTCCATGAATGCCTTTCCCGCCTGTTTTACCATTCTGCCTACACTGGATACCCGGTGAGTTCCGGGATGTACTTGTCTCTGCCCCTCAACAGTTTGGTTACAGATACACGCCCCACGCTGGCGTCTCATGTTAGTACTGAAGATCTGAACCAAGTTTTCACACTTGCACTACTGAGCATTCTCTTAGCAACCCCGTGACTTTATTTTACAATTACTGAACAAAGCTTGTTTTTATTAAAAATACAGAGTTAACAAAATGGTCTGTTTTTATAAAAATCCCGAGGCTAAAAAAAAAAAATGGGTCTGGAGAAAATAGCTCAGTGGGTAGAGTGTTTGACATGCAAACACTATTTCAAATTCCCAAAACCGGTGAAGATCCAGGCACAGTAGCATTAACATGAATGTCTGTACAAAGACACACACACACACACACACACACACACACACACACACACAATCTTCCACTGGAATTTATAATCTATAATCTCCTTTCATCATTAAGAAATCTAAATATAGAATGTATAAAATATTTTTGGTCTAACTGTTCAATTCATAGCCTTGTATTTACAGCATTACGATGAGTAGGAAAGACACTTAATCCATGCAATTTCTGCTATTTATTTATTCATTTTAGATTTTGAGGTCGGTTTCTCTATGTAGTTCAGACTGGCTTTAAACTTGCAACGATACTCCTATGTCAGCATCTACATCCTGGAATTACAGTCCTATACCACCATGTCTGGCTTTTTTTTTTTTTAAATTTTAGATACATGAGTACCTCCCCCCCACCCTACCCCCCCCCAGGGAATGGAGTTACACCTGGTTGTGACCATCATATGGGTGCTGGGAATGGAACCTAGGTCCTTTAGAAAAGCAACAAATACTCTAAGCCATCTCTCAGTCCTCAAGTGTTCTTGTTTGTCTGTTTATTTTTATTAATGAAATTCAACATGGAGGTCACTGTGCTAGCTTGAGTGAGAATGGCCCCCATATGTTTTGAGTACTTGGCCCTCAGTCGGTGGAACTGTTTAGGAGCAATTTGGAGCTGTGGTCTTGTTGGAGGAGGTGTAACACTGGGGGTGGGCTTTGAGGTTTCAAATATTCCTGCCATACCATTTCCAGCTTGTTCCTTGGGTCCTGATTATGTCTGAGATGTGAGCCCTCGGCTGCTGCCCTAACTGCCTGCTGCCAGGCCTTTGCTCCTGTTAGAAGCTAACCCTGTCTCTGCTCCTGTTAGAAGCTAACCTTATCTTTGCTCCTGTTAGAAGCTAACCTTTTGGAACTGTGAGTCCAATTAGACTCCTCATAAGTTGCCTTGGTCATGGTGGGTTGTCACAGCAATAGAAAAGTTAGACAGTCACTGAGAAAAACATTGAAGAAGAAAGAAAAACATTCTGACAGACTTACCTTGGACCCCGACAACATACTGGTCAACATTTTTGTTCCTCTTCCAATTCCAACCACTATGGAAGAAAGAAATATTATGGCAATCTACTCCGAAAACAAAGTTTGTCAAACATCTGCATATCTTGTTCATAATTTACTGGCCTTTGTAGTGCAAGGTTATAACGAATACACATTTAATAGAATTTAGGTTCCTATTAATTCAGTTAGATGATGTCGGGAAGCTAACAAATTCTGAATAGGAAAAGAGAAAAAAAGAATTATCTTTCCATTCCCAAATATTAAACACAGCAGATGCCTCAACACAGCCAACTACAGGATGGAGATTCAGAGCAGCCCCAAAGGATGCTGGGATTTTATACGGGTACCATAACAAAGATGTGGTACAATTAGCCATGTTCAAGTGGGCTGAGGCAAGGCTGGCAGAACTCATTACTAAACAAAGCAAAAGACATCATTGCAGCTAACGAACCATTAAAGATGATTAGAAACGAGAAAGATGGCTAATCAGTCAAGGGGTGACCCTACAAAAACAACACAGACAGACAGACAGACAGACACACACACACACACACACACACACACCACAGCTAGAATGAGGGTGAGAATTGCTTCAAGCTGGACCAGCCAACCCAGCAGGGCGGCTGAGGTTCTAGCTGCTTCAGACATTAGGTCTCTGACCTTCCTCACAGTGCTGGGCTCTAAGCTACAGCAGCCAGCCACTAAAGCCAGCCGTAGTAGCCTGGGGGAGACGATGGCTAATGTTACTGCCGCTAAAGGGAGTTCTAACTAAATCTCTAAGTTCTAATAAAATCTAATAAAACTCAAGATTCAAAGGCTAGGGTGAAAACTTGCGAGCTCATACAGTCAGAGTAGCAACTGGCTAACTTTCTTTGCTGGCTTCCCGGAAACACTCCCTTCCACACTGACCCCCTCCCAAGGGGAAAAAAAAAAAACCTACACTAAGCTCCTCCTTGCTACTTCCTGTCAACCAGAAGCTAACCCAGCCTTTCTGAGCCCAGGGTAATTTTATTGAATTAATGCAAACACAACACATCTTTAACAAATGCAGCATGAACATATGTAACACATCTTTGCCGGGTTAGACGAGTATTCTGAAACTTATCATTGCACGCCACAGCTCACCAGGGACAGTAGAGTGGATTTAATAATGTCTCATTATAAAAGCAGGCGATTTTTTGTAAGGATGCAAGTATTTACCATAAGAAAACAATGTAGCTGCACAATTGAGAATTCAGAGGGAAACAAGGCAAAATGGCTGTTAGCTGACAAAGAGCGTCGTCAATATTTACAGCAGCTGCCATTTAATTTCCATTTGCTACGTCGTTCAAGCCTTACAAGGTGTATCAATCATTATCTCTACCCCAAGCATGAAGGAACTGAGGCCTGTGGGGACTGAGAATGCTGGCCGGGTTCTCACAGCTCAAGACATGCAAGGGGGAGCTGAACTTCAAACTGTGTGTCTCCTCAGCGATACCACCCGCAGCCCCGACCACTGCACACCCGGGCCTTCCTTCTCCAGCCCTGAACACTGCACATCTGTATCCCAGCCTTCCTTCCCCAGCCCCGACCACTGCACACCCCGGCCCTCCTTCCCAGCCCCGACCACTGCACACCCGGGCCTTCCTTCCCCAGCCCCGACCACTGCACACCCCAGCCTTCCTTCCCCAGCCCCGACCACTGCACATCTGTATCCCAGCCCCGACCACTGCACACCCCGGCCTTCCTTCCCCAGCCCCGACCACTGCACACCCCAGCCTTCCTTCCCCAGCCCTGAACACTGCACACCCCAGCCTTCCTTCCCCAGCCCTGACGACTTCCTAACAGTTTTTTAAACTCTTGCTGTGCTCACTGCACAGCTCACATGACCTTCATGAGGCCCAACTCCGAAATATTCAAAACCCAGCCTTCAAAACATAGCTCAAGTCTCAACTCATTCATACGGTCCACCCGAGGCCCCGCAGACACCCATGCCCCTAGCATGGTCTTTTAGTAGAAACCATAATAGTGAAGAACTAAGATCCAAGGCCGCCCGCCCGTGAGCTCAAAGTTCTTCACGCGGCAGCACTTGCTCAGGCAAAACCTGTGGAATGGCAGCAAAGACTCTAGAACCTGATCACAGGCAGGTGAGTCTCCAGTCAGCACAGCAAGTGGAGTGAGTGTGCAGGGTGTGTGCAGAGAAAGCAGCCTGGTGGGAGGGAGCGGAGTGCACAGATTCTCACACACAAGGCGGGGCAGCAGCCTCACAAGCAGGTGACTTTAATTAACCCAGCCACGCGCTGCGCCGTGACGATGGCTCCAGGCTAAGTGGGTGGCCCAGAAGAACGAACGAAGGTGGTTCGTGGAAGCAGAATGCGGGGCGGCTGGCCCAGCAGGGGTTACCTAGCAAGCGTGGCTGCGGTCGGTCGGGACCTGCGCTTTCCCGAGGGCTGGATGGAGACTCAAGGGCACAAATGTTACCGATCGCTAAGAGGGCAGCCCTCACACCCTGGAAAAGTCAGTACGGGAGACAAGGGGAACTTCAGTTACAGGGTAGATGCACGGCTTGGCAAATGTGGGGCACAGGGTGCATAGAATAAGGGGTTTTCTCACAATTTCTTCCCTTCTGTGTGCTGTGAATATGCTTTATTCCCATTGGTTAATAAAGAAGCTGGTTTGGCCAATAGCCAAGCAGAATACAGCTGGGTGGGAAATCTAAACAGATACGATTCGGAGAGAAAGAGGGAGGAGTCGGAGAGACACCCGCGGCCCCTGGAGAAGCAAGATGTGAGGTAACAAGTCATGTGACCACGCAGATTAACAGAAATGGGTTAATTTAGGGTACACAAACTGGTTAATAATAAGTCAGAGCTAACAGGACAGCTCGAAATTAATATTAAGTCTCTGAGTGGTTATCTGGGAACTAGCGGGCGGGAGAGAAACGTCTGATTACATTTGCTACTCTATACTCCAAATTCTATGTTCACTGAAATGTTTTCAAGCCTGTGTCTGCAGGCATAAAGAGGGACTCCTTCTGTGGACAGGCGATGGCACTATTCTGCATTCCCAGAGCTTTCTACACGGAAGCTGTGTGTGTGTGTGTGTGTGTGTGTGTGTGTGTGTGTGTGTGTGTGTTTTCTTATTTTTCTTTCAAACTGACTTTTCGCCTTAGATCTTGGATCTGTACCACAAATGCAAATAACAGTTTCTAAAGCGCATAGAGGACTTCCCGGTAAGATGGCAGATCAAAGCTGCCCCGTGTGACATGTGACAGGAACAGAGTCAAGATCGGGGAGAGTGGAAAATCAGACAGAGAGAGAAAGGACATAGGAAAGTCGCAACAGGATGGAAGGAATAGCAGCACAGCAGTGACTCAGTGGGGGGCAGGGTGGGCTGGAGCTGGGGGACACACGGACACACACACACCTCAGAGACACACCACCCTAGCATCAGTCACAGCGAAAACACACCAGCTTCAGCCACAGGAAAGGCAAGTCTACAGGTTCACCTGAACCACCCCAGGACGGCCCAAAAGGAAGCCCCTCTAATTCCCCGTGCTCCAAAAAAGCTTTCATAGGGCCAACATGGTGGTGCACACCTTTAATCCCAGCACTCAGGAAGCAAAGGCAGGCAGGCTAAATCAAGTCAGGAATCTCACATAGCAATAGAGGTTTGTTTCTAGTATGCGGGGATGGAGGAGGCCCAAATATACATTCCTGTGCATACTGTGCAACCTCAGGGAGTTTGAAATATACCCTACCCTTGGATGAACACCTTAACAGTCCATAAAGCTAAGACTACAAGCCTCTACCACAGTTCTAAAACGAGACATTTGAAAGGACAGATGATTTTTCTCCTCTCAATCAATACTACCGAGTTCTCTTCCATAAGCAACTAAACCTATGAATCTGTGAAAAACAGATGGCTTCCCTTCAAAAACCATAGGGTTTATGTTCTAAAGAGAAGTGATCTGCGATTATAGATATAGCAATACCCCCAAAGCTGTCCTATACCTTGTCAGTACCCTACAACAATTCCATACCCAAAGACTAATAAACAGCTAGGATCTATTATTCATAGTGCATTTATGACGGTGAGATTCCCTGACATAGTAAGATTGTACCAGGGAAAAAGACATTGGAGAAACCCACAGCCCGCCTTCCTCAACCCCTCTCCCTCCTGCTTGGGGGATACACTGGCCTGCTCTTTCAACAAAGCTGAAATGCAACACCACACACACACAAAGCTTCTCTCAGGAAACATGTCAGAAACAGCACCCAGCGTTTTGTTTGGCTTTGGGAAATGGTCACCCAGGCACCCGTGTGATGGGGGATGTCCTTCTGTATATGTGTTTCTCTTATTAGTTGATGAATAAAACACTGGTTGGCCAGGCAGCAAGACAGACGAGCCTAGGGGATGAGGAGAATGCTGGGTGGAGTCGTGGGTAGAGATGCCTTGTGCCAGATTACAGGTAAGCCAGAGCCTTGTGGCAATGCGCAGGCTAACAGATATGGGTTAATAATTTAGACAGAGCTAGCCAATAAGAAGCCCTAGCCATTGGCCAACAGTCTCATTATTAATATAGCGTCCATGTGTTCACTTGGGGCTGAAGCGGCAGGACCTGACAGGATAAGAAAATGCCGTAACGCCTGTGCCTGTGAGATGGCCCAGCATTCCAGATTCCTAGACGGAAGCAGAAGTCCACAGAGTCAAACAGCAAACATGTTAAGACACAGGAAAGAGAGGAAATAGTTCCTCTGACCCAGGCCCACAGGCAGCAGCCACACACACCTTTCCAAACAACGGTTTCATACCTGGTGTGCTAACTGCTCTGCTCGGGTACAAACCTCTGCTCAAAGCCCCGTGCACGCATAGAAGAGACGATGGTGCTGTGTGTGTGTGTGTGGTGGGTGTGTGCTGTGTGTGTGCTGTGTGTGTGATGTATGATGTGTGTGTGTGCTGTGTGTGATGTATGATGTGTGTGTGTGTTGTGTGTGCTGTGTGTGTGTGTGCTGTGTGTGTGTGTGTGTGCTGTGTGTGATGTATGATGTGTGTGTGTGTTGTGTGTGATGTGTGATGTGTGTGTGTGCTGTGTGTGATGTGTGCTGTGTGTGATGTATGATGTGTGTGTGTGCTGTGTGTGTGTGATGTGTGTGTGTGTGATGTGTGATGTATGATGTGTGTGTGTGATGTATGATGTGTGTGTGTGTGCTGTGTGTGTGTGTGATGTGTGCTGTGTGTGATGTATGATGTATGATGTGTGTGTGTGTGTGCTGTGTGTGATGTGTGATGTGTGTGTGTGTGATGTATGATGTGTGTGATGTGTGTATGATGTATGATGTGTGTGTGTGATGTGTGTGATGTATGATGTATGTGTGTGTGCTGTGCACTGGTGCTGTGTGTGTGATGTGTGTGTGTGTGTGTGATATATGATGTGTGTGTGTGTGTGTGTGATGTGTGTGTGATGTATGATGTGTGTGTGCTGTGCACCGGGTGCTGTGGCTTCGCACCACCCAAGGACTCCCTGGAAGAAGCACTGTAAATGCAGTGCAACTAGAACCTTCCAGGCTGTGCTGCGGAGCCAGGGTTTGATTTAATCTGCATTTGACTAGCACTCCTGGAATCACAGGAGAAAAGTGCTACTGAACTTCCTTGTGTCTCTTACCCAGAACACCTTGTGCAGCACTGTCCAGTGTCCCTCCATGTCCAAGTTTCAGTGTCTGCCTTTGCCTCTTGTTCCATTCTGGGGAAGGCATTCCAGCTTCTGCAAGAGCCATGGGATGAAAAGAGTAATTACCAAGACAGTCAGGAGGAATATGGACAAGATGACCCACTCAAAATTAAGACAACGCAAATGTAAGCCTAGGTCCAAAAAAGAGGAGTTTAAAATGTCTGCATGGCAGGCTCAGAGGCTCAGTGTGGTGCTGCATGCTTAGAGCAATGAGTTTGAGGCCAGGGTGGTCTACGTAGTGAGGTCCAGGCTAGCCAAGGGTACATGGTGAGCCCTGTTTCAAAAGTCAAAACAACAAAAACCATGTAGCCAGGCTGGGAATAAATAGCTCAGCTGGTACGGTACTCGCCACTCGAGCATAAGGTCTGACTTCAAACCTCAGGACACACATGAAAGAGAAAACTGGGTGTGCTGATAAGAATTTATAATCGTGGGGCGGGGGGAGACACGTAAGTCTCTGAGTTCAGGCCTGTGAGAAACCACGTCTCAAAACCCCCTGGCCTCCACACACACACACACGCATCCACACCCAAGCACACAACAGGACGGTATTTCAAAACTAGTCAACTAGAAACCAGAACTCAGCCCGTGGGGTCACGACCCTTTCACAGGGGTCACATGTCAGCCAGCCTCCATATCAGATATTTACCTTATGATTCATAACAGTAGCAAATTTACGGCTATGAAGTAGCAATGAAAATAATCTTATGGCTGGGTCCACAGCACGAAGGACATTAAAGTGTCCAGGCATTAGGAAGGTTGAGAGCCACAGCTCGAAGATCAGGCCTGAACTTAAAATGCTTCACCTGTCAGTGAAATTACAAAAATACATTAGGGAACTCCTGATACGTCCCACAGCATAAATGTCTCATAACTCCAATCATCTTGTCTGGGCCCAAATTTATTTTTAATTTACACACATAAGGTCTCTGCCACACTAGTGAAATTCCATTCACTCTTCTGAAACAACTATTCAGATGAGTGTTTATGAACGACCACTGAAGGTCCTTTCTTGCGGTGATATATTATTTATGATTTAATAAAGATTGCCTGAAGGGTCAGAAAGCAAAGCCAGCCACACTAGTTAGCTGTAGAAGCTAGGCAGTGGTGGCACACACCTTTAATCCCGGAACTCAGGAGACAGAGGCGGGTGGATGTCTGTGAGTTCAAGGCCATCCGGGGCTACACAAGAGTGAATCAGTCTAAAAGAGAAACAGAGCTCACAGCTTTAATCCCAGAAATTGGGATCACACGCCTTTAATCCCAGCACAATAGAGGTAGAGACAGGAGGATATGGCTGAGTGGAGAAAGGAATAAAAGGAGGAGGAGGAGACAGGAGCTCAGAGTTTTTGCCTCTGAGGATTCATGGAGACAGGATCTGCATTTCAGCTGGCTGCTTTGCTTCTCTGACCTTCAGCTTGAAGCTGTTACATTTCGTGTTACATTTTCAAACTATAAAAACCTAGTCTGCTTCGGGCCTTGGAAGGTTCAAGGTCACAGAAGAGGGGATCCTGCAATGGTGGGGATCACTACAAGGTCAGGCAAAGGATGTTAACTGCGGCTGCTGACTGTGAGTGAAAGGGTGTTTCCCAAACCTGGACAGGACAGAATGAGCTATGGTCAAGCATCCTGCAAGGCGATTCTGATTGGGGGTGGGCTGGGAGATGAGGGGTTGGGGATGTTATGATGGCATTTGGGAAGCGATTTAAGCTAACATGGATAAAGAACATCCCATCACAAGCAGTATAGACAAGGTACCCGTATCTCCATGAGCGCTGCCCAGCAACCAGCCTAGCAACAGCCTTGACTCATCAGTCCAATCCCTTAGTCCCCTGACAGGAAATGAAGCATAAAGAAAACAGTATCTACTGCTGTCAATGGCATAATAAAATGCCTTCACAAGAGGTAACTCAGAGTTTATTTTAGCTCATGATTCCAGCTTATGGTTTGTCGCCACAGAGTTTGAGATGGTTGATCACGTCACCTCCAGTCAGGGACTGAGTGAAAATGAAGGCAGGCATGCTTCATGATTGGCAAACTCACCCTCAAGTCAATTTCTCCACTATTACATGGTTCACGATGCCCTGCATAGGGGATGGTGCCCACACAGTCGGTTCTTCCCATCAGTGAATTCTATTAAACTATCCCTCGTAGGCATGCCCACACACCAACCCAACACAGACAGTCCCTTCCCAGGAGATTCCAGGTCATTCCGAGCTGGCAATCAAAGTTAACCATCACCCTCAACAAAGGAGCAGGTGTAACACCAGCATTTAGCATCTGGAAGCATGCACCTATTACACAATAAACATTTAAACTTGCATTTTACCTATTATAATTAGCAAATTCCCATTAGGATAGTTTGGTTCCAAGTCTAAAACAATTTAAAATCAGTTATGGAGGTGCCCACCTGTAAATTTCACATTCAGGGACTGAGGCAGAGGGTCACTGTGAGTTCCAGGCCACCCTTGACTACAATGTAAGAGGTTTCTGTACTGGTACCAAGACAGGCTAGGCCCAAATTGGAGAGCCTACAACAACAACAACTTACATTTTTTTTTCTTTTATGACTAAAGCCTGCAGAAATCACAAGACTGCAAGCATAGTTCAGGGAAGAGACTACTGTTCATCTCTGTGCCTCTATGAGACAGCAAAGACACAGCTTAGTATGAAAATCAAGAAGACTGGACCTCGGGTTGCCCATAGGGTAAAGTGTTTGCCATGCAATCATGAGGACCGGAGTTTGCATCTCCAGTACCCACATGAATACCACGTGACCCTGAAGTCTGAGTCCTATGCAAGGGAGCCAGGCTGGTTGTTCTCTGGAGAGCAAGCTGAGTAGCTAGACTTGCTTAATTGGCAAGCTCTGGGTTCAAGACAGTACTACAACTTCTCTGAAGATGGCCAGCCATCACACACACAACACATGCACACATGCACGCGTGCGCGCACACACACACACACACACACACACACACGCAGAGCAAAACGAAGGTCTTGTTCATTGTTTGTTCTTAATGCCACAGTTTTAACTGATCTACTGAGCTGATGAACTACGCTCCTCTAACATTCTGTTTTAATGTTCCTCAAAATATGCTCTATAGAGTACTACGGAGTATTTGCCCTAGCTCTGGAGCGATTGCTTAAGAGTTCTCTTTCCTCCAAAATCCCAGGTCTTCAGAATCACCGACTCTGCAAATGCGGGGAATTAGGGACCTGTGTTTGATTAAAGGACCAATTCTCGCACCCGCTAAAAGGCAAAACATGACGTCTCTCTCTAAGTCCCAGCCAACTCGGTCTATGTGCTTTTCAAATGTACATTAAATTTGCAACTTGGGGGTTCAAAGCCAGAGTTTCGTTTGGTGGGACTCATTCACAGAGCCAAACAAAAGCCCGAGGAGGGATCAAACTACAGAAAATTGGGCTGCAAGCATCAGGGTGGAAACTTGTGTATGCAAGTTGGCCCCAATACACACACACACACACACACACACACACACACACGCTCCCCATGTGGAGCTCTCGTGGCCACTGTTGGAAGAGTCCGCGCTTGGACAGATGCAACCTCTCTCTGTTTCTCTCTGTCTTGAGCCCTGAGCGCGCAAAATTGAGTCAGCAAATAAATAAATAAATAAATAAATAAATAATAAATTTCAGTCCCCCGTCCCGGCTGCAGTACCTGCCAGCAGCTTCTCCTTCAGCCGATTCAGCAGCTCGGCTGACGTGGGCCCTTTGGGCTTGTGCACGGCGAACACGCCGCTGAGCGACAGCAGCTTAGCAGCCAGGGCGGCCTTGGAGACCTGGGCTTGCGATCCGGTCGGGGCCGCTGCCGCTGCGGCTGCATCTGCGGCTACAGGGCTCACGGCTGTCCCTGCAGCACCTGGGGCTGAGTGTGCATTCAGAGATGACTCCACCTCTGCCTGGGCAGCTGCCATGCTCTCTCAGCCTGCACGCGCTACCGGGAGGCGCACACAGATGACACGACCCTCCGCGCGCTGTGCCGCAACGCCTCCTGGGAATTGTAGTCCATAGCCGCTCAGTAGGTACTGACCAAGGGCTGATGGAATCTCTACTTTATCTCTGCTGCTTCTGGAGTGCTCTTAGTTCCCCAAGGCAGCAGTACAAGCGAGTTGCCCTTGTAAACTATCCAACACAAAGAGCAAATGTGTGAATTTTAGGCGAAGGACTAACTTCCTGACCATTGGCACCCTTCTACAATGAGAAGAATCGCACCTCCCAAACTCTACCTTCACATTCTTGTGTGTATGTGCGCGTGTGCGTGTGTGTGCGTGCCTGAGTGTGTGTGAGTGCGCGCGCACATTCTCTTGGATTTGCCATTTAGAGTGAAAACTATCTGGCAAGGTACCTATGTACCTCATTCTGTATCACAGATGCCTCACACATTAGTGAGTGCTTAAATAAGTATCTGGGAATGAATAAATAAATTTTAGCTACTCAAATCCCCCAAAGAAACTTATAGACCAACTCAGTGGTAATTCATGTAACAAGTCTGTTTCTGTCCCATCAGCCAGCTCCCAAATAATGACATGAAGACTTCTTATTAAATAAATATGAAAGCTCAGCCAATAGCTTAGGCTTGTTCCTAACTAGCTCTTACGATTTAAATTAACCCATTTCTATTAATCTATGTTCTAGTACATGGCATTACCTTTCTTCCATCTTGCACACCCTGTTTCCTCTCCCTGTCTCCTCCTCTTCCTCTCTCTCCCTGGAAATCCCACCTACACCTCCTGCCTAGCAATTAGCAGTTCAGCTTCTTATTACACCAATCACAGCAATACATCTTCACATAGTGTACAGATTCTCCACAACAAATCATAGGAGCTTATTTTGATAACTGCAGCTATTGACAATTCTAACATATTTTTTTTAAAAAAAATATTCTTTTGGGGTTTCCATTCCTTTGTAGAGATTGTTTAGGTATCAATAATTATAGTTTAGCAGGGCATAATGGAGCAGGTTTTTTAATCCCAGTATTTAGGAGGCAGAGGCAGGTGAATTTTTGTGAGTTCCAGGCCAACCAGGGTTATGTAGTGAGACCCTATCTCACAAACAAAAGCGAAACCCTATGATTTAAGTTAATAAAATTAAACTCTTTGTCGATGGGACATCAGATCTCCTCTCTAAAAGTGTTTCAATCCAGCAAAAGAATATTCACAAGCACTATTTTGACCCCAGAATAAGTCAAAATAGAGGGGAAATGAGTTTACTGCTGTGGGTATTATGGGATAGCTAAGGTGTCTTCATTGTTCGCCCACACTTCCTCACAGCTGCTCTCTCTGTGGTATTCTCCTGAGATGATACCCTGTGCTGATGAAGCTGTCAGGTGACCCCAGGCAGGGTCCCACATTTGCATTTTTTCCCATTCCTGCAGCAAATACACAGCCAAACAGTGATTTCAAACACACTGTTCTCGACATTCGAATCACCAAGCTCCAGTTTTCTGAAGTAACCAACACCCTACTTACACATTAGACAAGCCTTCAACCCACAGGTCATTTTATTTAATATTTTCTGTGGGCAGGGAAGGTGAAGGGAGGGGAAACTAATAGGGGTGTAAGGTACAAGAGCAGAATTTTTTTAAAAAAGACTCTACCTGGAGGTGTTGGCACACACCTTTAATCCCAGCACTCAGAAGGCAAAGGCAGGCAGATCTCTGTGAGTCACAGACCAGCCTGATCTACCGAGGGAGTTCCAGGACAGTCAGGGATACGAAGTAAGACACCGTGTCATGGTAAGGGTGGCAATGTCACCCATAGGCTCAGATGTGTGACTACTTGGACCCCCTCGGTGGGTGTGTGGGTAAGTTGAGGCAGTATGTCATTGGGACCAGCTTTGAGATTAAAAGCCTTGTGTCATTACCAATTTTCTCTCTGCCTCCTGTTTCTGGTTCAAAATATGAGCCCAGCACCTTGGCTGGGCCTCCTGTTTGCTACCTTGTTTCCCTGTCCCGACAGACCCTTATCCCTCTAGAACCATAGCCCAAACAAACTCTTTCTTCTATAAATTGCCTCAGTCATGTATGTTGTCACAGAAAAAGAAAAATAACTAATATACCCTACCTCAAAATAACATTAACACTAACTGAAGTCTCTAACATTCTAGATAAATTGCCTTGTTGCCCTCAACTATCCATGTGTCACCAAAGGGTGTTTATGAGTAAGTCTCAAAAACAAACAAACAAAAAAATCAACCAAATCCAAATACAGTATTGGGTCCCCCGTGGTTCCTGGGCCTCTGCTCTGACCCCTGACAGATGTGCAGAGCTGGGAAGCTTTCTTCCCAGAGGCATCTGTGTGCGCTCTTCTCTGGAGCCCCAGGCTGCAGCACACAGAGACGGATTTGAGGCCTTACAATCTGAGTGTCCAAACTGAGACACAGAAAGGTGTTCCCAATGCCTAGGAAGACAGCTGGGGATGCAGAGATCTGCATCACAGACAGGGGAAAGACAGTGTTTATAAAGACCAGAGAAGAGCCAGGTGTACCTGTCCCACCTGTCCAAGATTTCCATCATGGAATTGAAAAGGACTGGGAAAATATCTAAAGTTTTGCCCCTGCCTATGCCACTGGGGAGGAAAATGGCAAGGTGATTAACGAAATCGCTTGGCTACACAAGTGATTCTCTGCTGTGGACTGAGGAGACAGCCTGAAGAGCATGTAGGTACACGTTCTAAAGGAAAAGTATGTGTAAAGTTTTCATTTTGACTGTACATTCCTTTTGTAACTAAGAAAGATAATTGCAATAAGTAAAAAAGAAATTGAGCAAAGAATGTTTTTATCTTTGAAAAGGACCTATGACCAAAGGCTAATATTAGGAGCATCGCGGACATGTAGAAGTAAGACCAAAAAAGGCTGACATCCGATGATCTGGAAATGGGAAGAAATCCCAGAGATGTGCAAAGAAAACCAAAGGAACTTTTTTAATAGCTGGAGAAAGAGATGGCTGTACTGTTTAAGGCCAAAAGATAAAGATGAGGGATGACAAGTTCTCCATCAAGAATGCTTTAGGGGTGGATCTGGGAAGGCCAAGAGGGAGAAAACATCCTAGAGGATGAAACGACTAGAAAGAAATGCCCTGTTTCTAACTGACCTTAGCACTCTGGTCTAGAGAATTCTACCCTCGGGACGGAGGCCTGCAGGAACTCGTGAGAGAGACAGCTAAAGGAAACAGGCTTTGATTGGATTCATGCTAAATGCTGACACGTAGCTCCCCCCCACACACACACACATATTTGTGATAATTCTCAGTAAAATAAGTTGATAGCATAACTACACTGCAAAGTTGATGCCGTGTGATTTTTCACGGAGGGCTGTGACCGACTTTCGCTTCACCTTACATAGGGTACTGATACCAGGGCCCCAAAACCAGTTCTATTCAAGTTGAGCTTGGTGAACTGTGGGTTTATTAGTGTGGCCCACAGGAGCGCGGGTGACTTAAAAACAGTTGCATTGCTAGAAAGTTCACTGCAGTTTGGGTGAAGACTCACGAAACCGCATGTTGGAGCTCCCTGCACAACTCGCAGACAGCTGTGCTTCATGGGGGGGGGGAGGAAGGGAGGGAGGGAGAGAGGGAGAGAGAGACAGACACAGAGAGAGGGGGAGACTCCTCTCCCCCACTGATTGCTTAGATAACTGTGGGGAGAAGCTTTAAATTTTAGAAGCTTCCTGGGTCTTGTAAAGTTTATTTATTCCTGAGTCTCAGGGACTTCTCTGCCCTCTAACAGGGAATGTTTTCATTGGAAGATATAGCCACAAAACTGTGACGATGATGATGATAATGATGATGATAAGGAGGAGGAGAATATGAACCTAAACTGGGTAAATTTGACCCCAAGCACATGGCTAAAAAGCATGTGACTCGCATAGAGCCAGCAGTACTCTGGGAATCCCCGAAAGCAATTCAGGCCAGACTCAGAAGGAAAACTTGGGGTTAAAGTTTGTATTTTAAAGGGCACCGATCAAAAGACTTCAGAGGCAAAGCAGAGGGATGAAGATGTCTCAGCTCCCAGTGTCATCTTCCTGTGGATGCACGAGCACAAACTTTAACTCTCCCACAGAAAAGTGAAAGCGCTGTCCTGGGAACTCATCTGCCATTGTGTGCGTGTGGAAGGGGCTATGGCAATCAACCATGTAGATAAGGTTTCTGCATGACTGACCTTACATGCTCAGTGTCTACACTGGAGGTCAAAACGATGCCGCTGCAGCCTGAGGCCTGAGACATACCATTATACTCCTGTCAGATGGGATATTCTGCTGCTCACAAGTTGATTCTCCCAAGGGCCAGTCTTTTCATGGAATGTTCAGGATTTGAGTAAACCAAGCTTTCTGGGTTAACTCTTTAGCTGCACGGGAGAAAGGCTTACACTGTACATCATTTGCCAAAGATATGGAAGGTCCATGCAGCTCTCGAGGTAGGAGGATCACAAATTCAAAGCCAGACTAGACCACCATGTGCGATTCTGTCTCAGAAAACACACACACACACACACACACACACACACACACACACACACACCAAACTATAATAACGTAATTTAGATAATATCTTTTATGCCCAAAGGAACTGAAGGTAGATTCAGTAAGCTATAAATAAACATTAGCACGATCCGAGAAGTCCCTAGTAAGATAATTGTATATAGAAAAGACGTGGTGATTATAATAATCCAGAATGGGTTAATAATTCAATAAACATTTATGTGAAGACTCTGCTAGTAAGTCATGGTGACTCAGAGTAAGTAAACAGAATCTAGCCCTGTTTTGGAATTCAGCAAACACACACTGAGTCTCCACTGCCAGATGTAAATAAGAGACACCGGGCTGTTTGCAGACCTCCTTCTGAATAAGTCATGGCACACTAACACACTTCCTCCTTAAGAGACTGGAGCCTGACAGAATCAGCGGCTATGATTTATTT